TTAATTTAAACATTCAAAGTTGCTAAAGAACATTTTGAAAATATTTTTTTTATTGTGGTTATTTTAGGGGTTGACTTTTGAGAGCAAAACTGTTTAACAAATCATATTATTATGTCCCTTAATGTAATTTGACTCAATTCTAAAAGTACCCTTACCCTTATAAAATATTAAGTTATTTTCCGCATAAGATCATCTTTGGAGTAGAGCAGGGATTCCCAACCAAATTTTTCCAAGAACCCCCTCACCCAGTCGCTGTAATGACGAGGACCCCCACTTAAATTGTGAAGCATTATCATGGTTGAAGAAAAACCTATGAGACTCCACTAGTGGAAGTGCAGTACACTGATCTCAAACTTGCCCTCTCTCTCTCTTACATTGCATAGATCATAAGCTGGATTGGTTGTTTACACTAAAGACGTGTAGTCCGTCTCTTATTTTACACTGATGTGTTTGTGTCACTATGTTGTCACATGAAAAAGTAACATGTTAACAGAAACTGTTTGATAGATCACATGAAAAAAAAAAAAAAAATCTGATTCCTTCGATTTTTTAAAGAATCTTGGTAAATATCAACATTGATTGCTAATTCTGTTTGTCAGCTATAAAGTGTAGATCTGTAAATCCTGACTTGCATTTGAAACAAAGCTTTTTGAAGTTAGTACATGAAACTTTGCATTTTTATCACCAGGAATAGTTTCTATCTCTGCAGATACAAGTAATGTTGTAAGGCCTCATTTATGTTCTGTATGTGTGCCACCCATTGCAGTGAAGAGAATGACATTTTGGACTATCTATTGATATAATATATTACTATACAGTGTGATCTAACTCAAGTTAGTTATTACTGATATTGTTATTTTTGAGGTAACAATGTTGTCTAAATTAGAAAAATAATTGAACATCACGTTTCAACAAAATAAGGAAATGGCGCTTATATTTTTATATATTTGGAAAGAAGATTAAATTATGAGTAACAATTTTATGAATGAACAGTGAACTGATAGCTGAAAGAGCGTTTTTTTTATTATTAGGTGTCTGTTTATAGGTATGGAAAAAAATTATTGCGGGGTCCGACATTATATGAGTGTGAAGTGAGATAGCATACACAACAAACTGAATCGTAACGTTATGTCTCTCTCACACTCATATAATCCTTAATGCGTTTTTTTTTAGCTTTAGACTCATAATAATGTTTTTCCATACCAGTAAATTGACAGACTGATTCTAATGTTTTTTGTTTGATTTTATTTTCCTTTTTTCTATTATGCTGAATTTTCAATCTTTATTTACTTTAACTATTCATTGGTTTGTATCTCTTTTCATCTTTCAAAGTATGTAAAATATACAGGGCGCCTATAAAAAAAAAATGTTATTAAATTTCTGGATGACTGTTCAGCTGTTTCTGGCTGAGGAAAGTGACTAATAACAAAGTTAGCCATAGTGCCGACTTCAGTTGGAAATCAGATTGATGCAATGTATACAATTTTCCACTAGGTGAGAGACCCTTCGCTTGCGAAGTCTGCAAAAATGGTTACGTATCAAAAGCGAGCTTAAAGATACACATGCGGACGCACACCAACGAAAGACCTTTCGTTTGCGACTTCTGTGGAAAAGCTTTCCGGCAGTCTGGGGATTTAACAAGTCACAAGCGTCTACACGGTACTGAAAAACCAATCGAATGTTCAGTTTGCCAGAAAAGGTAAGTGCTATTTTATTCTCGGCAGATTTAACCTTTTTTTTTAGGTTTACAACAGTGATGAAACTGAAATATCACATGCGGAATCACACCGGGGAAAGGCCATACGTATGCAGTGTTTGTGGTAGAGGATTTACCGTAAATACCATTTTATTACGTCATATGCGAGTTCATTCAGGTGAAAGGCCATATGTTTGTGTTACTTGTGGAAAAGCATTTTCACAATCTAGTACTTTAAATACACATATGAAGGTAATATTTCGACCTCACACAGCACGTTAACTAAACTCTTGCATGGAACTATCTTTAGATTATTTTTATTGTGTTCTTTTTGCACAACTTCATGGAAAAAGTAATATACACAATGTGCCCTTTACATTTAACTATGTACCTACAGGAACATCATTCTTAAGAAGTATTTAGCATTGAGCATTCATCAAAAATGTAATTGGATGTGTGGGGAAATTTAAAATGGTCTGGAAAAAATTGAATATCCCCCAGATATTTCATTTGCATCCCTGTTTAGGAATTCGCCATCTTAAAGGAAAAATTTTGGAAAATCTTAGAAAGGGTATACAACTGATGGATGAAAATGTGTTTAGGGGTGAAAATTGGAAAATTGGAAAGCCATACACAAAAACCTACAAAAATTTGTTTGTTCTATTCTCCTATTTGTTATGATTGCTGAGAAAAAATTAAAGAAGAAAATGTTGGGGAATAGCTCTCATACGTACTATTTTGGACCTTCCATTCCTGTGGATAAAATGATTGTTTTAGTCTCTTATACAGTGTGTAAAGCGATGGGGTATACAAGAGGGAATTTTTTTTTTAAATATTGATTTATGAAAAAAATTTATTCTTCATAATATTTTTTGCTTGCTTTGAAAGTACCAATAACGTTTCGATTGTTTATTGGTTTGATAGCAATACTCTATCTTAATTATAATATAGAATGATAACTTTCAATAAAAAAAATTAATTTTATTATTTTTCCAGATTTCTATATATAAATTTTAGATTATCGAAACGTTATTGGTACTTTCAAAGCAAGCAAAACATATCATGAAGAATAAATTTTTTTCATAAATCATTCATAAATATTTAAACAAAAATTCCCCCTTGTATACCCCATCGCTTTACACACTGTATAATCCAATTTTTTAAAACACTGCTATGGTTACTTTTTAGTGACAAAATTAAGAATCATTTTCATCATTTTTATATCCAATTCTTTTCCTAACTTGTCACTAAAAAGGCAAAAATAAAAAAAATTAAATGTTTGTCGAAATCTTTTCAATATTCCGAGCAATATTCATATTGCTCAATTCTTGAGATCCGAACTCAAAATGGGTAAAAGTATTTTCCCTTTAGTTTCTGATCGCACTCCAGATTCTGTTTATGTCTACTTTACAACTTTTTATCCTAATCAACTGGTGGGGCTGCTTTTTTACAAGTGGGGTTCAAGCTATTATGAGGTGCCATCCCGGTACCTACAAAGGGAAACTGATAGGTTTGGACAAAATGTCACTGTTTGGTTGGTCAAAATTTCAAATGCAAAAATTCTCGAAGGGTCAGAAAGGAAGAAGGCGTACTTACTGTTGTTTTGTCTTAAAGATCAGTAAAGTCAGTAAATTAAGTCCAATTAAAAATCGTTTCCAAAGTGCAGTGAAGCAAAATGGAACTAGTAACTACTATTTACAAATTACCACGAACCTCAGTTACATACTTCTCACCAGGGAGTGTTTTTAGACTTAAGAACACAGCATCACATGAGAGGTGTTAAATATGGAATGATAATGCAATGAAAAAACTGACACAAATTGAATTCGCGCAGATGCACTACTGAGTTTGCGCAGTAAGACACTGCTCAAATTAAAAAGGTAGTCAGGGCCGGTCTCTAAAATATTTGGAAGTAGCTACATATTGAGAAAAGTCAGATAACGAAGTGAATTTTGGGTATTCTTTTACATGGACATTAGGGAATAATTTGATGACATTATTCCTTCAAACAAAACAACCGTTAATTGCGTTAATAAGAAGACCGGATCCACTAAAATAGACACAGTTCCTGACTGGATCTGTAAGCTCACACAATGCGCAAGCTCATAAGTGCACCTACATCTGATTCGCACAGAGTAAATTGTGTCATTTTGTTGTCGTGCATCGTTACCCATTCGCGTTCTAGTTTGTGTATATTTTTGTGGGAACGATATAATTATTATATGGTATTATCAAATAAGGTAAGAGAAAGTGAAAATATCAGTGAAAATTCATTTTGATATCTGTTTCCTAAGGAGAGATATGGCGAAATTATGCACATTCACAAATCTAAGTTGCTATATTCATCCAAGCTGGCTGAAACCGAAGTTGCATTCAACTCCTTAAAAGGATGTTCCCTTTCCCCAGCCCTCATATTTTATGAACTAGAGCTGCTTTTTTTTCCTTAATGCAGACCTGCACAAAATTATTTTGGATTAATTATTGTTAAAGTTGAGAATAAATATTCTGCTAATAATTTCGATTTTTATTTATAACTTGAGGTTATTGATTTCGAACTTTAAAATGTTCATCATCAGATCTGTGCGTCATCAAATTGCTGAGTAAAATTAAAAGATGCATATAGTATGGATCTGTAATGAACGAACAACATAATGGCAACGAATATTACGAATGGCAGTTGGCGTTGAAGTGTGCCCTCTAGCGGCAAACCTTGAAACTTGAAATAATTTCCAGCGATTTCTCTTTACCTTTTTTGTTAACAAAATCTTGTTTTCCAAGCTGTGTGCTGATTCTGTAGAGATGGGCTGTGACCTTTATTAATAGGACACCCTGTACTCATATATATTACTTCTTCTATGATCATTTTTAAGAGTGTGTGTGCATTAAAAACATGTTATTTATAGCTTCACATTATAATAAAAGTGGATTATTTTAGGTCCACGCCCCTTCTCCAAAATACAACACTCAAGAGACACAATCAAGAATGCCAAAATTTTCATCTACAAACGAAGTCAAATTTCATCCTAACAATGACCAGACAAACAACAGGTTAATGCAACCCACTGACAATCGCATGATGCAACCAGAACCGCCTCGCATGATGCAACAAGACACAAGTAGAATGATATCAAATGATGGATCAAGAATTATAAACGACGCCCATTTATTGACTGATCATCGTGTACTTTTAAACGATGCCACCAGACTTCATTTAGTTAACGTTAGTGAACCGCCAAGACTCCTAGTGAACGATAACACAAGGCTGTTGACGACTAACGACAATAGATTGCTCACTAACGACAATACGCGCCTGCTGGCGAATATGACCGATAATAATAGATTGCTGACGAATGATAACACCCGTTTACTAACAAATGATAACGCTCGACATTTGGCGGTTATCGAGAGTTCTCGCATTTTAGCAGATAAGTATTTGGCAAATTATGATCCATATCATCGGGGACATCTTTAGATTTCAACTGAATAGGACAAATGCTCTAATTAAAACATCAATATTAATAATTTTGTTTCATTTTAATTAACTGACATCCAGTTTTATATTACGTAAGTATAGTAGTGTAGTTCTTATTTTATTATTTATACAATATGTGTATAAAGACTTGCGTCTCTGTTTCACCGTGACTCCCTCTCTGACCTCGGCACTGCGCAACCGCAAGCCCGCTATAATTTGATTTTGCGTTGAACTGTAAGGGCATTGAGTAATTAAATATGAGTCCTTCACTCAACGGTTAGGGTAAGGGGTAAAAAGCTACGAGCAAAAAATGTACTCGTAGGGGTAAATAGTAAACATAACCTCTGCCAGCCACAGAAGACTTGTGAATATTTTTAGTGTGTCTAAGTAGATTGCACTGTTTAGTAAATGTCTTTCCACATAATGTACAAATGAAGACATATCTGTGAATTAAAAATTAAACATGCAAACAGCTGAGCGGAACTAATTATTAGGTACAATCAACAATATTCATTTTTAGTATGTGGAACCCTTACCTCTTCTTTAACTTATTTGCGTTCTCGTTCATTATTACTTCGTGTTTGCATAACACCGTAAATAAAAGAACGTGTTTTATTTATGGCACAACACTACACAATAATTTTTTTGCGTAATCAGCAGGAAACGTGGTAATATAAACAAAACAAACCCTTGCACGTTGCGCGTTAGGGCAAATTCAAGTGCTTGCGTCTGCGCGTTGCTGAGGGAGTCACGGTGAAACAGAGACGCAAGAGTGTATAAAGTACGTTACCTTTTTTAGTCTCGTGTGCTAATTTGTGAACACCAAAACCTCTGTTGAGGGCCAGTATTCTAAAACACGCATAATTATCTATTCTTCATTAAGCTAAAGCTAGTGTGAATTTTATTAGTGTGATTTAATCAATTAGTTACGGTAGGTTTTTATTTAATATCTCGCTCATTTATTTTTTATTTATCCCCCCAATTAATTTAATTAAAGATTCTTGTCAATTTAATGAATTCCATGCATAAAAGGTAAGTGAAGTTTAACTTTGCAGTACAGTAGCAGCTTGACGTAAATTTCATTTAGTTTACACTTGCACTGGCACTTTATGTAGCGATAGAGGATACATAAGTTTGTAATGCAACACAATATTTATTTCACCCAAGTTTGCAATTAAACGTTGCTTTAAAAAATACATGAGAATAGAAAATATTGTACCCAATTATTTAAATGAATTTTCACAGTAATGAAGCAATGTAAACATAGTGTTCATTAAAGAGAATTCTGTGATAAAGAACACCCAGTGTAACGCAGTAAGTCAAGCTTTATAAGTGCAGTAGCTGTGAGCAGCTCTTCGATCATGTCTTATGAGCCAAAAGTCACAATTTACAAATTTTCCCAGTTTTTAAGTCACTAAAAATTTTCGATTCAATATTATAGTATTTGGTTATATACAGGGTCCTACGTCATACATGGTCAAAATTATTAAAAAAATATCTTGTGCAAATATCAACTATAGATGTTTGCACATCTACAGAAATTATTTTTGAGTGTGGGTGGTGTCCAATTTTTAGGGTGTCATAATATAATTTTTTTAAATAATAATAATAATGTCATATGTCTTTATTCTCTTCTACTCCTACCATACAAATATTAAAAAGAAAGTTTCATTTCTAAAACTTAGCAAATAAATTTGATTTTATGGTTTGCAAAGTTAAAAAAACAAATCAGGTGTTGAAAAAGAAAAGATTTAAGTATCATTGCAAGTAGAACACCATGTTTATTTTTACAAGTTCCAATGTCATTTGATAACCTCTACATGGAAACTTTTTGTTTTTTTTTTGTCAACGTTGCCATCTTATTAATTTTTTTCCGAATAATTCCCCTTAACCCTTACTTTGATGATTCGTAGCCACTTTGATTTTGAAGTTAAGAAATACATTTGCTCAATAATGTTAATCTGAGTAAAGGGTAGCACTTTGATAATGAGAAAGTTGGATTTAGTGATGCAGGGTGTTCTCACGGAAATGACAAAATTTCCAAACATCGATGTGCTATAAGTATTCTTTTTCAAATGGAACCACTATTTTATTTCGCTATTCAATTATCTGTTGTGTTCTCTTCAATTTTTGTAAGTGTCCTGTGCAGTTTTTAGGTTATTCTCTATTTTTCACAAACATACCTACCCATTAATTAATTTCGGGCGATCAAAAATGAGTTGCTGTCGAGTCGCCTTTGGAAGTTCAAGTTAAATATGATTTCCCATGTAAACAAAAATTCCAAAGGTGACTCGACAGCAACTCATTTTTGATCGCACAGTATTTATACATTGATGAATTCCAAATATTTGTAAAATGTGAGAAATATTCAACCGTATCATAGTAATACAAAAGCACTCTATCGAAAATCTTCAAGGTGTTAACTTATTCCGCGCAATAGTTGACTCATCCTGTACATGACAAAGGTATAGTTTATAATCTGTTTGAATTATCGTAAAACCCTAGTCAGTTTTATTTATTGTGCATTATCGCATTATCACATTACCAATACAACTTTTTTTTAAAATCTTCAAAAAATAAAGATTTTTTGTTCCTCTTTAATTGAATATTGGGGAGTTAATTGTTTTTTTTTATTTATCTTCATTACAAGATTTACTTTATGAAGTGTTGCAGATAGACATTATCCAAAATAGAAAGATTAATTCTAAAACGTCAAAATAATAGTTAACCACTACTACATAAATCTGTACCTATAAATAGCCAATTGTACCAACTGCTGGTAAACTTAATGGAGAGTTATTACTATGGTAATAATTATCTTCATGAAAATGATCAGTTAGTTAAATATAACTGTATTGACATTAATCTCAGTGGAAGTCATCTGTCAGTTAAGTTTATTAGCAGTTGATAATAGTAGTCTTTAAATGCAAATTTCGTTTTGGTTAGGTTAGTAGAATTGCAGAGCGAAGGAAATAGGTTTCATCAAAACCCCATTTTAATTTATTTCTAATTTTTGTGTGTGCGAGTGTGTAATTTTAGTGCTTGAACGATGACTAATAATAAGTAGTAATAAGGATCAACACTTCCATTTGTAGTAAAACATATCGTACATATTAATTAGAAAGAAGTAGCCTTAATTATTTTTGTATTGTACCATGTATGTGCTATCTGTATTTTTTATGTTCCTGGAGATTACTCCTAAACTTGTACTACTTACTATAGGTAGATTATTGTAAGGTAGCTGATAGAGCCGAGCATTATTCTGTAAAGACTTTGTGTTTAATTACAGTAAACGTAAAAATTAGTTTGAATGCAGTACACAACCATGATCATATTTTCTAAATACGTAGCGGCAAAGCCTTGTGCACAAATTGAAAATAAACACTTTTTATATCAGTGAATTTCTTTATCTTATTAGTGATAGATAATTACAGGGGGACCATTAACTTCTACTTATATATCATAGCTTAATTTGTTTACGTCAATGGGAAACCTACTGTTACAGGTTCATTTTTAAAATGTGTAAAAAGTTGCTATTAATTCAATTTTTATTGGGGTTTGTGTTTAAATGTGGTCGGCCACTTAAAGGTAAGTGTAAAATTCGATTAATTTTGAAGGTATTTAGTTACTCTGAATGTCACAAATGCCCAGCATAGGTTTAGATATAATTGTGCATTTGAAATAATCCGTCAAGATACAAATGATTTTTTAATTATAATTTTGTTTGATGTGGTTTGGAATAACATCAAACAAAATTATAAAAATGTATGGATCCTGATAGTTACCTACTGAAAATCGATTTTGTAATTACTTGTTTGAATGTGCATGCTCTATTTGATCTGTTCCTTAAAGACCCTACGTCCTTGTCTAGAAAAATTTAGGAAAATATACCAATTTCTGAATTTTTCGTTTTCTTTCATTAGAAACATGTATGGGTAATAATAATAATACTTAGGAAAAATCGGTCCACACAATTTCAACAATTGATTTCAGTCATAGGTTCTACATTGGCCCTTATTAAGAACCCGACATAATCTTGCGATAGTACTTTTGCCTGTTTCCCGTCCATGTGATAACTCTTGAATGGTAAGTAGATCCTAGATCCTTGAACTTGGTATACAGGGTCCTCTTGGTCGAATCCTATTCAATGTAGTCAAAAAGTCACCAAAGTTTCAGATAAAGATTTTCAATAATTTGTTGGGACTCTTATACAGTGCCTAAATTTGAACTTTATAGATATTTTGGATACATATTCGGCCGATTTGTGTAGCTTTAGCAGATTCGACTTATTAACTAACCTTTAAATTATCTTTTAAGTGAATGCGCTATCCAGCAGTATATAATCAAAGGCTGCGCGCGAATGCTTTAGCTTATAGGTCAACGCGTATTTCGCGCGGCGCTCATAATGATTTAAATAGGCTGGGGGTATTTGACTTGTATATTTAAGAATTGAAAATAGGAGATTTGTATGTTCAGTGTTAAAATTTACCCACTGTCTACTCCTATATTGTATCAGTGTATTAAAAGCATGCACAGTTATTTTTATTTATTTAAGTTGATGAACGAATTGAATATTCATATTCGATACCACAGCACTCGAGCTACACCTATGTGTCTATCAACAACCCACAATGGGGTAAGTACCACACGATACGTTACCATTTTAGATAACCTTCATCTGTTAGTAACGCAAAAACCAACAAATTACGACCACTGGCTAACAAGCACTTACGTTCCGCAGTGGAGTAAGTTTTAAATTTATAAGTATTATACAAATTAATTTTGCCATTTTTCATGTAGCTACTCCGAAACCGACCAGCACAGTGCACCAGAGCTATATCACTCAGAGTAAGCAAAAACGTTGAGTTGCGCAATGAAAACGCTAGTGTTGTAGCTACACCAAAACCGGTAGATAATGCAAATGTTGCCAACAACACTGGTCTCTCGGGATGCGGAGGTCGTGGCGGGTATTATTTCAATCGTATCATAGGAGGAACAAGCGCTACGCCAGGTGCTTAGATCAGTTTTACTTCTTGGTAAATTAAACACAATTTGTAGGCGAATTTCCGTGGCAGGTGTCAATTCAAGTAGACGACGGAAGACAATTACATCATATTTGTGGAGGTGCTATTTTGTCAGAGCACTGGGTCATCACGGCTGGACATTGCGTTAGTCAAGTGCCTGTATCATCCTTGTCTATTGTAGGAGGAGACCACAATCTTTATGTATTGGAAGGTAAATCGTACATGTCGTTTTTCTATGGGTACATATGTTCTTTCAGGAACCGAACAACGCCGAGGCATTGTTAACGTTTTCACAACTTTCTTCGATCTGGCTACATTTAGGAATGATATAGCGCTGCTAAAAGTAAACAGTCCGTTAATACTGAAATCGGGTTCTAGGGCGTCCGCCATTTGTCTACCTGAAAAACATGATAAATTTCAAGGTGTTGTAATTGGGTGCATGTACAAATTCGTGCACTGAGAAATAATGTGATATACTCTTATTTCTGCTTGTAGGACTAGCTACAGTATCAGGCTGGGGTCGTATGACAGAGGCAGGGAATTCTCCTCAAACATTACAACAAGTGACATTACCCTTTATCGACAAATATTCTTGTAGAGCGAGATATCAGCAAGTTGGATTTTCACAATATCTCAGTGAATGTCAACTATGTGCTGGAACTCCTTACGGGGGCAAAGATGCTTGTCAGGTATGTAAAAAAGATTATGGTACTATAGATGTCTCAAATAGGTACAATAAAATTGTAATTCCTGTAAGATTACACCAGCGGATAGGTGAATGTTGTTGAAATCAGACCATCTGTCAGTATAATTTTGTAATAAATTTTACTTGTGACAGGGCAGATAGATGTTCATATTTTTGAAACTTTGCTTATATAGCAAACTGAAAGACTAGAAAAAATCACGAGAGCGTTTTTGAAGTCTAAAAGGCGTATCATATTTCAAGGAAATGCGTCGCATCGGCTTTGATTACTTATCACTGGTGACTAATTTTAGCGAATTGATGGCGCCCCGATGTATGGAATACTCGCTACATTACAATGAATATTACAATTTCTTAAATATATAAATATAAAAGAATACATGTACATATAAAAAGACCTGAAAAGGGCCTAAAAAACATACGAGCGCGAATTCACTTCGGCAGCGATGTTGGAAATGCAATTAAACATGCTTCAATTTGCTTACATACTTAGCAAACGGAAAGTTTTCTAGAAAAAAATCACTGAACGTTCTCGAAGTGTTTTCGAGGACGTTTGAGAACTTGATTTACCCATTTCATATGTAAACCAGCCTAGAAGCTCTGATTGCACATAGAAAACTACGGAACAGGCTCAAAGAGCTTGAATGGAGAGATTATACAATCGCAAAGCGACTATGCACCTTTGTCAGTGAGCAAAACATTGCTTCAAAAAATATGTTTTCTATACTATTTTCAAAGAAGAGGATTCTACAAGTAGTAGATACTGTATAGTAATACAGATAGTGTATCAATTTTCATTAAAAAGTAGACTACTTATTTGATACATATTCCTAAGAAACGTTTTCGATTCTAGGGAGATTCTGGTGGACCTTTAGTATGCGCCAAGGACAGCGGACAATATTTTCTTTGCGGAATAGTCAGTTGGGGAATTGGATGTGCTAGACCTGATTACCCTGGCGTTTATACCGAGGTAGGTTCTGTGCACATGGCTATAAAGGAGGGTATTTCGAGTTATCATTTTGTAGGTGTCATGTTTTGTGGATTGGATAAAAAATACTATGGCACAAAATTGGTAGCAGCATAGAATTGTGTCTACACACAACAATCTATTATAGTATTCTTGGTAGAAAATGTTTTTTCAAATAAAAGATTACACTATTACTTAAGTAAACATCTATTGTCTTCCCAGAAGATAACCCAACAAATATGTATAAATTCACAAAAATTTGTCTATAAATAACAATTAAAAATCACTAACACGTCCTTTCCTCTCCCAGTCTCCGTACCTTGTCGGTTCAGGCCCTCTAGGACCGCCTACTTCACCGGTATGTGGATTTGTATTGTTAGGCCATGGAGGTAAGGGTTCCTTTTCTTGGTGTGGATGTGGTCCTTCAAGTTCTTCTAGTTTAGTTATCGGTGTCTTCTCTCGTCGTAACTTCTCTCGAAATTCTTGCATTCTGGGAGACAACGGCTTATCATTTGAAGATGAAGACCTCTGTAAAACATCTGTTTCGGGTTCGCATCAACTATCATGACATAAGATTTACACCTTTTTGATTTTCTTGTTAATCAGCATTAAAGGAAAAAAGTACGAACAAGATGGCAAAACTGCCAAAATTATAAGTATACTCATGCAATCACTAGAAGCTTGAAATTAAAATTATCAAAATGAAATAGGATTGCATGAAAAGAAAGTAGAACAAATGTGACTGAACTTTCATTGCAAATTTTGGCAATGCGAATTGGGGTCACTGACAAACCAAGCTCAAGCAACAAGATTTGTTATGGAATTTGCTTTAAATGTTGAGAAGCAATTTCATTGTATCGCATACTTTACCTGATATTTGAGCTGGTTTGGGAAGGAAAGTAGAATTCTTGGAGTGGCGAAGCAGGTACATCATGAGACTCATTTTAAGCAAATGACACTAAAATTATAGCTGCATAATATTGACGACTGCGAACGTGTTTTGTTTATTTCACTGACATGAGAGGGAGGTTAGATTCAGTTTGCTTTATTTACATTTGTAAATTTTACTATTCTATGGTTTTGGCAACATTCGTCATGCACGTCACCCAGTGTGGGAGCGTTCCAAGGATGCCCTTTCTTGGTACACAAAAATACGTGCGCTTTCGTTCCGTGGAGGCGCTTCTGACTTCTGAGAATCGCTTCGCGCTACTTAAATGTGGTGCTGCAAATCGCCAGTTGAGTATAAAATGTGAATACTCCCCCAAATTGTTATTACAGTCCAATACTGCACGTCGGCGTCAAAGCATTTCTTGTTGCAATATAGCGAACACTTATACACCTTGGCATCCTTCTATGTACTAAACCCATTGAGTTATTGAGTAATTAATCACTCAACGCTAAAACGAAGAAAAATTAATGAGAGGGTCCCTATTCTCGTATTGCGTGGACACAAGAGTTGTGTGGTCCGCACGAGATGAGGAAGCAACATAGGTACAGTCAAGAATCGGAACTGTATTAGGTACTACCTCCAAGGAGGAAACGTTTAGTCGAACATTCAAGGCAACATCATATACTTAGGTAATACAATTCTATGTGAATACATAGATATATAGGTACGCAATAAAATAATATAAAGGCATAACCGCCTGTACAAAATAACATGATTCAGAATAAACAAAAGCTTGAGCACACCATACTGTAATAACCAATGAATAATGAATACCTTATTTATTGGCAATAACCAAATATCAGCATTTTATGCAAAATGTAAATATCAAATTGAGACATGACATACGAAGATTGATGATTACTACGAGAAGTCGAGAAATAAGTAATAAAACAACTATTAAGTACCGACTGGCTGTAATTACACTTTTAAAACAGAACAAATAACCCACGTTCCTCTCTCTTAACAACTTTCATAGCCAAAATCCCTATTGCCCTGCATTTGCTGTACCATAGAAAGCCTATTGTGTTCCTCATACAATACAATTAGCTACAGACCTGCAAGTTCAGTAGGAATTATATACAGTGTGAGCAACAATGATTGAAGCGTGCGTCATCACCGCTTGTTCCTATTAATATCAAAACTACCTTCTTTGTATGGAGTTGTATACGAAAATGACGTTCTGCGCTGTCACAGTGACGTGCGTCTATTCGTATTTCGTATCTTGTATCAAATCAGCATATGCTATGAGCGGCACATTGCCAATTTAGCTGAAGCGGCACGCTTCAATCTTTGTTGCTCACTCTGTACAACTTTCTTAAAACTGAACATACATTGTCATTACCCCTACGTTCACTTAAACGAAAACAGATCTATTCCAATAACAGGAAAAATAAGTTTTGCAGTACCAATGATCTGTACCTTTCTTGGCTATAAGTTTAATTAAATATTTGCACAAGTTTAATGTAAAATACTTTTAATTCATCTTAATAAAAACTCTGATTATAATATATTATTTTTAGTTTATGTTTATAAACATTTTAAGAAGGCACACTTAAACATTTATTAAAAATACTTGGCGTCACTTTTTGGTATTCTTCCACAATTACAGACTTATCCAAGTCTCCATTAACCACTAAAACTGGTGCTGGACAGGTAAACATGGTCTTATAGTACAACCAATTTTCATGCATCTCATGCATTTCATGTAAATACTCCAACTGAACAGTCTTTTCCTCTTGACGATTTCTTTCGCGCATCCGTTTATAAACGACTTCAGGTGATGCTCTCAAATATACTGTAAAATGAAATTGTTAAAGTTTCAATCACAAAAACCAGTTATACCCACTGATTAGATCAACGTCACACATCGCACTTGAGGTGGCCCATTTGAACCACTCGTCAATAACCGAGGCAGATGGTGCTGGTAACACGCTATCACGAATCATTTTTTCCACAAAGCAGTACCTAATTAGTCATACAATTAATTACCTTCTTTAGTCTTACATACCTTGCACTGTAGATTGATCGCTCCATTAGCTTTATAGCACAATCAGTCTTGAACGTATGTTGTTGTAACATGGTGAGTTGTACATACGATTGAAATGTAAATCCCCAACGTTCTCGGTCTTCGTACAAGTGGGACTACGTAATAAAGTAACAGATGACAGTCAACAAAGTGAACAAATCGACTTACCAAAAGGTTATATCCACCACAATTTTTCCACAACTCAATCGGCTCTGCTAAAGTACATATGTTGTTATACTGTTTAAAATAATTAAGGAATGTTGTCTTCCCACTTCCGATATTGCCCTCAACCAAAACAGTAAAAGGGGAATGCGTCAATTTTATCCTCTTGCTTTCCATTTTGGAAAAGTGGATCACAACACAATATGTAAAAAACGACTACACTTTATCGTGGGAAATGCATCAACAATGGAATGTAGTGGATGTGGTGAAAATTAGGCGGTAAAATTCCCGCTATAATTCCATAACCGTTATGATAGATAGAATTTTTTGGTTATGTTATAAATTTTTAAATGTTCTCTATTTGAGTGTAGAGTGAACTTAGAACTACAACGACGCATTGTAACTAATTAGATTAATGAAATATAATTTAATAATAATAATAATTGGATTATTTTAATGTTCAATTAAATTAGGGATGTTACAGTAATACCACACGGATAAACGTAGGAAGTTGTCAAATTTAAGTGATAATGGGCCAGGTGGATTTAAATCGCGACCTTGTTCCCCAATTTTCATTTCTCAAAGTGAGATACAATAGGTAACCTTTATTTCAATGAGGTAATTTTTTTTGGATTGTCAAATCACATATTCTTTCGAAGTGTGATCTTATAATCATGATTGCTAAAATCGTGAACAAACTGAACATAACAGTTTTATTATCATGAATTCCTAACCTCTATAAATGCAAGGATATTTTTGCTCAAATGTTAGGTTAGTCAATATTTGTAACTGAAGAAGAGCATAATCGTACCAGTACTTCCACTTATATTTAAATTATTTTCATAATCCAAACAAAAAATACGTAATTCGAATGCAAATGTGTACTCCGTAAACTTAACCAAACTTTGATTTAAATTCGTGCGTTCTTTCGTAATGCGTGATCCTACGAATCACGATCTCGTAATCATGCTTGCGAAGTAGCCGAAAGAAAGCGCCTATATAATTTGCAGTAGGTCTAATGGACCTGGACAGTAGGTAAAATGCAACACGGCTATGCTACGCCACTGGAATGTGTCACTTTTTTTAATTCATTTTTTGTATACATAAATAGCATATATACAAAAATTATTTGTGATAAATAGCCATCAAATTATTTATTTATTAAGTATACCAGAATATTATACTAACGGCATTGCCCAAACAAATCGTTGGGTTTTTAGTGACAAATCGTTACGTTTGTACGTCATAGTAACGTCATTAACGTTGGGAACGCCCACCCCACAATCAGCTGTTTTTAAAATTATTCGTCATTGTTTATTTTAAGAAAGTTTTGCTGATAAGATAATTATCCATAATATTGTCAGTCTAGATTCAAGGTAACCTTTTCGGAAAATTAGATATTGGTCATGTCTGCAAAAACTAAACGTGATCGCTCCAACAGAGATCTTTCGCAGGTAAATTGTGATTTTTGTAGCTTGTATGGTAAAAATTGAGTTTTAGTATGGAATATTTGGTATCCCATCAATGGACAATGGTGACAATGACGATGATGGTAACGATAGCGATTTAGAAGCTGAGCTGCTCGCTTTGGCAGGCGGTAAACAGAAACGGGCACAGCGTAAGAAGCCAGCTCCTGTAGCTAATCTAGATGTGATGATAGCCGCAAGTCTGCGTGATATTCCTTCAGATGAAGAATTATCGGGAGATGATGATGATCCAGATTTATTGAACGAATTAAGCCAAATTACAGGTGGGTGCAAGTATTATAGGGTTGCACATCTAAAACGACCCTTCCTGAATAACAACCATGCACCATTGTTTAAATAACTTATGTAGGTAACTTGTAAACGAGATGTGATATTTCCATGCAGTTTTCTCTAAACATGTGCTACTATTAAGAGCGAGCTATTTGATGGTGATTTTCAATTGTTTCTCTAATCTATTCTTCGTAATTTCATAGTATACTGTACCAGTTTGCACGGTCTATCCCAACGATTTAACCTAACTTGACCCCCCTCCTCTTAAATAAAAAAAAATAAGAAATAGATCTTAATCTCTGAATAGGCTTCAGCTAGGGTTCAGTTACAGCTTCTCTACTTCTTTGAAATCAAAGAATCCAGTATAAATATATTTTTAATATGTAATTCTGTTCTGTGTAGGAGATGAACCTGAGCCTGATCCAACACCTAAATCACCAGAACCTCAGACTGATATCATGCCACTTTTACAAAGTCGTTTAAAAATGTACGAAACTGCAGAAGCAAATGCCACACAGTCAGGAGAAACGAGTCGAGTGAGGAGGTTGGGGCGTGGTATTAAAACATTGAAGGATCTCATAAAACAAGCAAGTGGTGGGCGTGGCATAAATCGTGACGATATTCCACCCGAGGTTGCTGTTACCGTTAAGCCTAAACCTGTTGAAAATGAACAAGCTCAACCTACAAGGCCTGCTCCTACAAGTCCTCTTATTGATTTTGAGGCGCCCCCTCCTGTAGAACAGCCTTCGCCAGAAATTTCTCCATCGGGCCTAAGTCCCGAAAATGAGGAATTATTAAAGTTATTAAATAGTCGTAAAGATGAATATAAAATGGCTGCATTGCAAGCAAAAAGAGGGGGAAATGGTGAACTTGCGATGAAGTTTATTAAGACTGCAAAGCAGTTTGAATTAGTGATCAAAGCTGTGGAAAGTGGACAGCCTGTTGATTTGAGCCTAATGCCAGGACCACCGGCCGAAGAGGTGGCTCGTGAGGAAAGTGAAGTGCAGAAACGAAGTGATTCGGCGGAAGAACCCACAGAAGATTCACCCAAACCCGCTCTGATTACAGCATCATCTGTTGGGGAAGCCCTACAACAGCGATTAGAAGTATACCAAAAGCAAGAGGAATCCGCCAAGGAACAGGGAAATGCGAGTAAAGCGAGAAGGATGGGCCGAATTGTCAAACAATTTCAAGATGCCATTAAGCTTCACAATGCCGGAAAACCGGTTCCGGTTGACGAATTACCCACACCTCCAGGATACGGTCCAATTCCGGTACCGGCGGCGGCAAAACCTGTCGAACCCCCAAAACCGCAAGTACCAGAGAGAGTCGTGGCGCCAAAGCCTTCGCCGTCGCAGCCGAAAATTGTCAAAAAGAACTCGGCGCTGTCGCGAATTGACAAACAAGTTGAGATGTTGAAAGCGAGGCAGAAGGAGTTTAAAGACGCCGCTTTGAACGCGAAGAAAAAGGGCGAGTTGGAGCAGGCAAAGGAATATTTAAGAACTGCAAAAGGATTTGATCCGTTGATTGATGCAGCGCAGGGAGGGCTGCCTGTTGATATCGCAACATTGCCAGTGCCTCCTTCTGTTAAATCACAACTGGATGAAGAGTGAGTAACTAGTACATAATATGATAATATTATATAGAGTGAAACAATCAGTTATGTCAAAAAAATTAAAATGCTTCTTTTGGTAGTTACACCTCCAATAATTTCAAAAATTTGAATTTTTTTTCAAAATCGGAAGAATTTTCTTGGAATAATTTCCGAAATATTTACCCGCAAAATCTACACAAAAACTGTGAACAAAGCCTCATCCTCTGTTGTGAAAAATCACACACGTAAGTCTTAAGACAAGTCTGTGTCTGGCTTAACACCTTATCTTTTCGTTATCTCTTAACTGCGATAAAACACGTGCGTTAATTAATTTTCGCCTGATAAGCTCCTTATCACAAACGACCAGATGTGTCTTACTTCTAACACCTTATTTAAATTGAATAAATTACAAAAGCGATAAAATTTAAACCAGAATTACGCATTTACACAATTTCTTAAAGGAAAAACAACACTGAGATACAAATTTATTGATGACAGATATTTATAGTTTTTTCTTAAATTGACTAAATTTATAAAATTCCATGGCATCGCAGATTATTAAAAAAGATGCGGGTTTTATTTTTCCAATTTTCCGTCTTTATAATTGGCGTAAAAAATTTTTTTCTACAAAAAACTAATACATTTTTGCTCTAAAATAATTTGGGGAGCCAATAATCGCATGTTATGAATTTTACATTGAAATCCCTATGATGCGTTACGCAAGTCACCACCCTGTATAATTAGCAATTTTTTCAAAAAAACTTGTGTAGTCCTATAACTGTCTGTGACGGATTGTATAATTTGCTCGCCTATATCTCAGCATCAGAAAATGATTGATTAAGAATTCATATTATTTGTAGATATGGAGTTGTTTTGGCCGAAGAAGTTGAAGAAGGAGGCGAGATCGATCCCGAACATTTGGATATTCTCACACGACTTGAGCAGCAGCTAACGAAACAATTGAAGATGGCACTAAGCACTAGAGACCATAACAAGGCGATCGGAGACGTTGCCGGCATGAACCGTTTTGAGCATTTGGCGTTGAGCGTCACGCGAGATTTAGATATAATTCGAATAGCTAAACGAAAACACACTAGTCAACTGCCTAAGTTTCATTACGAGACGAAAAATTTCTCAATTGTTAAAAGTTTTACGGAACTGAACGACAACGACCTACAGTTAACTATTCTTAGGGGTATTAATTACAATTGCAGCAATCCGGACAGTATCGACACATACGTTAAGTTTGAGTTTCCGTTTCCACAGGTTTTCTCTTTCAAATTTGATGTTTTCAATTTTTATGATTGATTTTGTAGGAAGAACCTGTTAGAAACAAAACTGCAGTAGTTAAAGATACCAATAATCCTCAATATGATGAAACGTTCACATTACCAATACAAAGGACGGCCAGGCCATGTCTTCGAGTGTTCAAGAGGCAGAGTGTGAAGTTGGAAGTGTATTCTAAAGGGTAAGTAAGCATGCTGCTCCGGCTTTTTGTTTGCTATGTGCTGCAAATTAAATGCATTTGTGCCCAATTGTAGTTCATTTGGGTTTGTTTTTTTATTTTAAAATTGCAACATCATTGTATTTAATAAGACAGCAGATGATTAAGTTTTTTTTGTATTAATTACTTACTTTTGCAACTCTATATAAAATGTAAAATACGTAACAAAAGTTAGGTGACACCATAATTATATTTATCCCATATAATAAGGTCCAAAATGTATTTCCTAGGAACTATGTATCTGAAAATGATCAATTTACATTTTTCTTTGCAACAGTAGCCCATATAATGATAAACTAAACCTAGTAGTTTTTGCGTGCCAATGGTTCTTTTGTTTCAAAGGCAACATGGATAAATATTGCAATTTAAATCACTGTTTAGGAACCAGATCAAAATGCGGTTTTCACTGATATTTTCAGTTCCATCTTATTTGATAATATCATATAAAAATTATATCGTTCCATTTGATTATTTTAAGAAAACCTATAAAGTTTTAATTAATGTCAAACCGCGCCCTCTACCACTCATCACGTTTAC